GTTCGAGTTGTGTTCGACTATGCAGAACTTTGCTGTACATCGTTATCCCCCTCCATACTCCCTAACTCCCATGTAAATTCTTTACTCTGTTACAATTGCATGTCTGATGGGGCAAAACTCCAAAAACTAAATTCATTTTCAATATGCTCCTTCAGCTAAAGGGCAGCCGTAGAAAGTGGCGCCTTCACGAGGACAAGATGTAAATGGTCAAAATTACTTGGCGTAACGGTAACCATGGTATGAAGGTACAGGAGGTGAAAAAAAGACTCTCAATTTGGCATCAACGAATTTAATCAAAGAGCTCGATTAGGAGTTATAAATAAACTTCTAATCATGAAAATAATGCAAAGCCAATGCTTGTGAGGGCATACATTTTGTTTCTAATAAAAGACATTATTTACTAATATTCACAATTAGTAGGCCTTAATGCTATCAAGAGATGCTGTGGAAGGGTCTTAATCAGCCAAGGCTGCAGACGAGAATGGAGAACTGATAGTCGGATTTTCCCAAAATAATACAAGTAGACTTCACGATTGTGACTTCGCCTGGGTCTCCTCAGCCCCTCGAAACGGGAATCAAGCACAGGAATCGCAATCTTTTTCTAAATTGACACGATATCACTTCGCCATGTCACACGGTAGACATGAATTTCAAGACAAGCTAGATCTCATTCATATCAAATTATTATAGTGAAATTTCAATGAAGCAAGGATTTATTTTACCCTTAAAACCGAGCATACTACTTATATTTATATTCAGTAGGCCTCAGTACTATACATCATAAATAGAGTTGTACAAACTATTCTACTTTAATCCTACTATAAATTTAATATGAAAAGGACATGGCTTGCCCTGAAAGTCATGATGTGTATTCTGTGAATTACTAGAACCTGAGAAAGCATGAACTAATGGCAGTTTGTCGGCAGTTAACAGGCGCAACTCGGCTTCGAAATCCATTAGAGGTGTTGAAGAGACCCAGAGGAGATTGAAAAAGTAGTCCATCCTGTGTGGGAATAACTGTTGGGAGGCCAGACCAGGTGACATTCAATGGGATCTAAAAGGGATAATTTTGGGCGGCTTCGACTCTTATTCTTCAACATTAGTGGACTCACCAAATAAGCAAGGGTTAGGCATGAAAGTAAATTGTCACATCCTCACAAATGGAGTCGCTTATATGATTTTAGTAGTGCCCCAGCAAAATCTTGAGCCTGGCTTTGGGCCAAAGATGGAAACTGAACTGTTTAGCTTCAGTTTCAGTGAGCTGCAGGGTTAGCCTGGCAATTATGTGAATACATTAAATTGCCAAATTTCCCCGTGTGAAAGGGTGTTTGTCAATGACTTTAGTAAATTCTTCAAAATATGCCTAGTTTCTTACATAATTTTAACGTAGTATATCTACATTTTTCATGTCGCATGAGTTCCATATCGCCTCAAAATGACTACAAACCAAGCATTTCAGTCTAAAGTGGGTCTACACAAGCTTCGGAGCCTTCAAGAGGGAGGCTTCTACCCGGTTTTATCCGAAATTCACGTAACATCACCAATGACAACAACAGCCCATAGAAGAATTGTGGCCAAATCTGGTCTCAGATTTTGAGCATCTCTGCAAAACGACTGCCTATTCCCCAGCAAGGAGTTGAAGTGTCCTTCTTGAGGGCTTTAAAAGACCAGTTTTATGACCTTTTGGCATATGTAGATTGAAAAAGGATCAAAAAAGTTCACACGTAACCATGGAAAAAAGTCATATAACAATAAATAAAAAACACTTCATCACGACCCATCAACCTGAGATGCTTTCGATTGGTCAGAAAAATGATGGCATTCACAACTCGGCTACCACTTTTTGTTTTCCTATGGGCATTAGCTTATGGTGGAATAAATAAAAACTGTATGTAAGTAAATAGAAAAAGAGTCAAATTAAAGGCAATAATGAGCTGAAACTTACAAGTCACGTTAAAGCTGAGCCGTTTCGACTTCACCTCGCTCGACAATGTTCCTGCCTGGACGGCCTTGCAGAAGAAGACAGCGCCGAGGTCGTCTTTGCTGAGCCGCAGGGCGAAGTTGAAGCGCCGGCGCTGTTGCCGCCCTCGTTGCCAACGCCCATGGCTGCGTCCGTCCGGCTGGCCGTCGCGCCAGTCTCCATCGCCGTCCAACTCGTCTGAATCCGAGTACGACTCCAGTTCAGGAGCCAAGTCCGAGTCTGAGTCCGAGTTTGAGTTCGAGTCCGGGTTCCAGTCCGGACCGGCCTCCTCGTTGCCTGCTCCGTGCGAGCTCGGTTGTCCGGTCTCGTCCGTGCTCTGGCCGGCGTCGAAGCCGAGTGAGTCGTCCTCGCGCCAGCCACCGCCGGCCTCGTCCGTCTCCGACTCGTCTCGCTCCGAGACGCTGCCGCTGCCGCTGCCGCCGCCGCCGGCTCGTGGTCTCGAGCTGCGGCCTTCCACGAGCGGAGCGCTCAACTGCTCTGGACGCTGTTCACCGACGCGTTGACGGAACACGAAGAGCTGAGGCGGCGGCCGGCCGCCCTCGGCGTGACACGCGAACTGGACCAGACTTTCGGCTGGTACCGGTTCATGCGTCGACAGGCTGGCAGCAAAGTGGACTCGCTTTGTCGGCGCTGAAGTGGGGCCGGAAGTGGATAGAGCAAAAGGTGAATCACATGCACCAGCCGCCTAATCGGCAGGTCGGAGGGAACCGGCCTCGGATCGTCAAGTGAACTATTGTGCCCTCGCCGATTTCGAGATGCCTCGGTAACTGGGGAAACGTCGAGTACCCAATCGGACCCGCCAGGTATGGGTTGTTCCTCAGCACCGACTTGCACATGGGCTTAAGTCGCCCATTATCCTATTCGACCTTTCTGTTGTGGGATTTCGACTGAGGGAAATATGTATTCGCCAGGGTTACTTGTATCCGACTAAAGCTACAATGCAAGATCAAGTGGTCATCGCGAACTGCTGCTTCATTCAGTACAAATAGCTGTAGCAAGTGTACTGGTGAAAACATGTTTGCATCAAACACAAATCCACCATAAAAGGCCGATATGAAAGAAGGTTAGTTGGGCTTGAAATTGACTCGTGGCACTCGTGGCAGTCTGGCGGAGTGGTACCAGTTCTCGATTCTACGATACACTACAACAAGCCGAGTTCGAGTCCCGCTGGGGGTGATGATGCGACGAAGACACGGTTGAAACTGAAGTCAAAATTGTTGAGGCAAAAGGTAACAATCACTCCCTTGTCACCTTGAAATTCGTATTTGAGATCTCGTTGACGGCGCCGGAGTGCCTGACAAAGTCAATCAGGCAACGATTTGAGCATAGAGCCAACAACACAGGCCTTAATGTACATTTAGAAAATTCCTTATGCTACTACTGAAATGCTGCAAGTAGAGTGGAGGAATCAATCGAAAAGATACCAGTCTCACTTATTTTCAGTTTGTTGATCCTACTTGCATTTCGAGTGAAAGGGTTTGTTGCAGAGATTCGAAGTTCGGTTCCATCAGAAGACGACGGCGGATTCCTGTTGACCAGCTGTTGATTAACTGTTTCCGAGGTAATCTCTTTCGAATCGGGTGAGAAGGTGCTATGTTCCATTCATAATATGACGAACATCATTAGAGCGAGGATTCACCGTCACAGCTAAATTCAAGAATTACGAGTCAAGAAATCCCTAAAAAGTGGTACATATAGTCTACATCTGGCCTCTTTGAGCAGGTATAAAGTGATTTGGTTAGTTACGGTCATATGCCAACCTCGAAGCTTGGGAGTGTGTTGGTCTCTGTATGTGTAGGTGCCGGTTTGTGTTGGCTTCTACACAAAATTCGCAGTCATGGCTCAAAGTAATTAGAACAGCAAAAGTAACATCTGTTCTTGGCCATCAAGTTGTGATGACCACTACTCCCGATTTCTACAAAAATGTTATAACCATCAATCGGATTGGGTAAGGTCGGACACATGATTAGTTATGCTGATGAGCCTTATTTGTCTTCGTGTGAGAGAAAGAGTGGGTTCAAAGAACAGAGAGGTGACTATGATTAGAAGCAAGATAAAAAAAGAAAAGAGTCGCCTCCTTTTTGTATTCCTTACATTCAATGTATTTCTTATTCTGTTTTTTTGATGGCTTCACTACTTTTACGTTTAGCTGCAAACGTGCCATAATCAGCCAAACGACAAATTTGAGACCATTCACTTTCCGATCTTTGAACCCAACAGTCTCCGCTTTGTCGAATGATACGACAAGTCTCCCCAACATTAAAGCGACCACATGAACATATTATTTTGTAGCTACCAATTCTGAAGAATGGGCCAAATTTCTGAAAATCGTTTATATTCCCCACTTCCTCGCTTGTTCGCCTCTCCTTTTTGAGAGAACACACGAAGACAGGACTTAACATGAGAAAAGGTCTCCTTATCTCTCCTCACGTATTCACAAATCCAAAAAGCTATTCTCTATTAATCAAATGTTATTTTCAATCAAGCCTGGGGGATAATTATTTTCAATAAATGTATTTTTTTAAGCCGATCCAGTTCATTTTTACAATGGTTCTTATCGGCTAGTCTTATGCTCTGGATAATCATAGATATTAAAACTCCAACCTTTGTTTTGTAACTATGATTGCAAAAGAAGTTAAGAATAAAGCAAGCACGCGTTGGCTTTCTATACACATCCCTGCTTAACTTCTGACCTGCTCTGATCACCAAGACATCTAAAAAGGGTATATTCATGCCCTTCTCCTTTTGTATTGTAACTTAACTTTGCAGTCAATCTGATTAATTAAGAAGAAGTAATTATCTAAACTCTTCTTTCAATGTTACAATATGGCAAATTAGTCATCCGTGTATTTAAATAACAGTTTGGGTGTCAATCTTACCTCTTTCATGAAGTGCTCCTCCATTTTTGACATGCGATGGTAGTCAAGCAAGATCCAATTGCTCGGCTTTGCACCTGTTCATAAGCCTTATCATTAAAAGTAAAGTATTTACTACTCATGGATAGATTAAGTAGCCTTAGGATTGAGCTTTTGCTCATATTTCCCTCCCAAATAATTTCTGGGTGTTCATCTATGCTGAATGTAAGTGCTTCAATAGCTTTCTGAACTGGGATGTTAGTATGCTTTGATACCACATCAAGACTAACTAAAATATTCTTCTTTTTAATACTCTGTTGATTTATTAATCTAGCAAATTCATATGCATTTTTCACTGAATATTTCCAATACTCAGCCACTCTCCTTAAGTTTCTACATAATAAACGTGAAATACTATGAATCACACTTCCCTTGTTATTTAAGGAACTCCTTGTTCGAATATTTTTGGAAAAATGTAAGCAGAAGATGGCCTAGCAACTCTTCGAAGAAGTGAATTAATTTGCCACTTCTCAATATCTTCTTTGCTCACACAAATGTTACGCGATGTCCTAAGTAGGGCCTTAAGAATCTCTGTGTGTTTCTGAGTCATTTGAATTAAGCATCATCTCTTATATGAAACTTAACCTTTTCATGATGACTACTGCACCAACTTTATCTGCCTTCCAAACAAACAGATCATTTTGGTGCAAATAACTAGAAACCTTATTCAAGTCATAAGATTTATTTGGAATAATTAACTCATCAAAATGAGGAAGCGCCTCTCTTTCTGTTTAGTTAATTAGCTCAACCAGTATCTCCATAGAATGATTTTGCTCGTTTAGAAAGACAAACTTTAGACCCCCTTTCCAAGAGGAGCATAAGATTAGCATCTCCTCCTTATTGTTTCGGCGATTCGTTGAGCTGATGTTAATGCCTAAATTCCTTACTTTCTTACCATCTCAGGATCTATGAATTTTATCCATCCTGCCCGTTATATTCTGTAATTTGAGAAAGTCTACTTGAGAAAACAACATAGAAAAGAATTTTATAGTTCTGATTTTGGTTTCAATGAGGTCATATAAGTTGTCTATACTTTCTTGTAGTCTAGTCGTAACCAAACCACTCGATACCTGCTCCAGCTGCCTATTAGTGGAAATAGGTAAACCTAGACTCTTATAAATATACAACATCTAGCTACTGATACTACTACTACTATGTGAAATACAATTTATAAAAAAACCGAAAATGGAATATATTGAATGCAAGGAATACCGGCGAGAAGATAAATAACAATTACTTGTGCTTAATTAATAGACTGAAAAATTGAGAGCGAGTTGAGCAGCCTGCAAAAAGAAGGCGTAAAGTGGATTCAATTTTAAGAACGATTTCCTGCTCTGATCATGCTCATCCTATTGCTTCGGAGACATCGTTTATTTTCACTTTTAATGGAAGTGAGCTTAACACTTTTGAGCATAGAGAGTCATCAAAACTGGAAGTTTCCTCGTAGATACTTCTCAGCAACCTTGTAGAACTTTTTGCTCTGTAAAGATGATCTTCTTAACCCGGATAATTGGTATACAAAAATCTCACTTGATTGGCCAAGAAATGGTATAAACGGTGGAAAAATGGGGAATACTAATAGTCCAAAAGGCCTCCTAGCAACTTCAATTAGGCGAGTGAGTTGTGACAAGACGAACTAATAAGACGAATGCCTAAGTTCCAAAGACTTTGACATATCGGCAACATTATACATGCTCAGTTTTTAGTATTCTGTGAATGTTAACTCGGTGAAAAAATAGTGAGCATATTTCAAATAAGATTATTTAGGAATTGAAACGGATGTTTTTTTCTACACTGAAATGAGCCCACGCAAAAATTCAATTGAATTTTACATTATTTTACCTCCAAACTGG